CCTATAGAGCTGAATGTGAATTCGAGTTACCAGAGGCATGGCCTTTGGATAAGCAGTATGGGATCATGTCATTAGAGTTTTCTGACGCACCAGTTGCTGTTAGGTGCCGTCAAATCCAGAAAAATTCTGAGCAACCCTATGAACAACAGATCTGAACCCTGACCTATCCTGACCTAACAATCACTGACATACAAGAGCCCATTGCAACAGTCACTGTGTCAAACCACCTGTCTGAGGGGTTTCATCCTTTTTTATGTATGTATGTATCTATGTATGTATGTATTTATTTTTTGCCTACCTTTCCAAGTATGATGTACCTCTCCAGAGAACGGCCTCTCCTAACAGTACATCCCAAAACAGCCGACATGTACTGTTGCTGTTACATGCCACTGAGTTGGAACTAATTCATAGCTAACCCTCCTGTGGGCTTTCAGAGGCTGAAAGTTGTATGGTAAAAGATCGCCCATCTTTCTCCTGCCAAGCATCTAGTGGATTTGAATGCCCTTTGAGTTGGCAGTGCAACTCCTGACCACTCGAATACTAGAGATCCGTAGTATTTCCATTTCTTTAAAAGACAGAGTACCAAGGAAAGATCACATGTTCCAAAAAATCCCCTGTTCTAAAAGTGTTCAAGAGGAAGGGTGATAAAGCTTACTGAACTGAAACAAATGGTTACTAGAGTTGAATGCAAAATGGTGTGACCACTGAGAATCCTTTGTCATAGCTTACGAACATCAGTGGGCAATGAGATAATAATGTGGTTTTAAGCGGAGAAAAAATTTCAGATCTAAGATAAGAGAAGGAACATCATGCCCTTGATCTGCTTTTATGAGCCTGAGAAATGTGAAAACAAGCGCTGGACAGCCTCCACGATGTTCACAAACTGCAAACATGGACAGATCATCCCTCAGACGAGGATTTGTTTTGAGTTTCCCAAATATGGTTGCATGGTACTTTATAACAATTCACTCTGTTCTCCAACTGGGAGTGGAGCCATTTCAAGTTCACCTCTAAATCCTGAGATAGAATAGGAGGAGCAAGAGTAACAGATAGAGCAAGGTGCTGAGTAACTCAGAATAGTGGTGACTTTGGCCTATAGATCATGAATTTTAGGCAGATTTGCAAATAGGGATAGCCATGCTCTGTAAATAACAGCTGTTGCCACAAGCCAAAGGGCAGTGTTTACATGAATCCTGTGGCCAGGACTATTGAGCAAACATTGATCTTTACAGCCACATTCACATACTCACTGGGCAGGACATTCAGCTGCAGCATCCTGAATAGAACCACATCATGACTACATGGACAATCTCCATTGTTCAAATATATTACGTTCACCCAATTTACATTGAAAAATTTTTTTTGGAACTTAGAACAGATGTTTCCATAGAAAGAGGTGCTATAAAAGGATATGAACTTTCCCAGATTGATGCCCCAAAGGGCATTGAACCCATGATGGACCAGGGATACTCTTCATTGGCCATGAGAAATACTGAGAAATGCTGCATTCTTCAAAGCAGAAGCACGTCAACACACACACACACACACACACACACACACACAGTATTTTTTAAAACGAATATTTGATCGCGCTTTTGGTGAACCTTTGCCGAGGTGTACTGCAAACCTTAAAGGTGGTGTGCCTCTCCGGTGATTCAAAGTCACCAATGGCTGTGCTGGAGAAAGATAGGCAATCAGGACGCTTATGATTTACAACCTCCTGGAAACTTTGCTGGAGGGTGAACAACGTAGTCAGTTCAGGTTGAGGGCAATGCATTCTGAGTTTGATCCAATTAGTTCTGTGACATTGGTTACATTTAATAAATGTTTCTTTTTTAAAATTTTTTTAAAATTATTTTTGTGTGAGTGTACCGTCAAATCAGATCTGACTGGTACAGGAGGAGATTGTCCCTCCTTACCCGGCAGAGCATCTGGTGGATTTGAACCGTGCGCCTCTGGGATTGTAATTGCAGCTCCTTGCCACTAGGCCACCAGAGCTCCCCTAATCAATGTTTCTTAAGCTATACTCCTGGAAGCCCCAGGCAAAGAATGGTATTCTAACCTCCCACAGCTACAGTTTGGAGTTGGGGAAAGAAATCCCCCACTGCCATTATCTGGAAGGGCCCAATGACCAGGGATGGGCAGGAGGATTGCAGTAGTGCCCATTATGTTGTTGTTGTTGTTGTTACGTGCCATCGAGTCACTTGCGACTCATAGTGACCCTATGTACAACAGCCCTAAACTCTGCTCTGTTATAGTGCTTTTAAAATTTTCCCACCAAAGACCCTTTATTAACTGGCAATGAAACAAGGAAGAGTGTGGAAGGATGTGGATGTCTTAACTGGAAGTTTCAGTTTGTCTTTGGAGACTTCAAATTCTCCAGTCCACTTTTCCGGACATGTGCACTTTTTAATTCAAAACCAACCAAGCAACCAAGCAACCAACCAACCAACCAAGTTGTATTTCCAATAATCAGTTAAGTGACTTAACTCTTGCCCATTTTTGAGTTAAGTTGATGCTCTAGACAGATGAACCAGTTTTTCCACTGAGGCTCCCTATTCCCCTTGGACAGCAAACACACACATTCCAGGTTGAGAAACATGGGAGTGTGTGTGTGTGTGTGTGTGTGTGTGTGTGTGTAAACAACCATGTTGTTGTTGTTGTTGTTATGTGCCGTCGAGTCGTTTGCGACTCATAGCGACCCTATGTACAACAGCCCTAAACCCTGCTCTATTCCGTGCCAATCTCATTGCCTCTGACACACCCACCCCGATTACTCCAGTCACTGCATCAATCCACCTCATAGAGGTTCTTCCCCTCCTGCGCTGTCCCTCCACTCTGCCCAGCATGATGTCCCTCTCCAAAGACCTGTCTCTCCTTACAACATGTCCAAAGTATGTCAGAATCCTTGCCTCCAAGGAGCAGCCTGGTTTAACCCTCTCTAGGATGAATCTGTTTGTTTTCTTGGCAGTCCATGGTACATTCAATACTCTTCTCCAGCACCACAGCTCAAAGGCGTAAATTTTCCTTCTCTCCTACCTAGTCATTGTCCCGCTCTCTGATGCATAACAAGTGATTGCAAAAACCATGGCCTGTATCAGGCGCACCTTAGTCTCCAGAGAGACACCGTTGCTCTTGAGTACTTTAGAGAGGTCCCTAACCACAGACTTTCCCATCGCAATACTGTTTTTGATTTCCTGGCTACTGGTGCCAAGAGTGTTGACCATGGAGCCGAGCAAACTGAAGCTGTGAACAATCTCAATCTCTTCACCATCCATCCTGATGCTACCGATTGGTCCAGTGGTGAGAATTTTTGTCTTCTGGACATTGAGCCTCAGTCCATATTGAAGGCTGCAGTCCTTGACCCTCTGCAGTAAGTGCATGAGGTCCTCCTCAGTTTCAGCGAGCAGGGTTGTGTCATAGAAGAAAAAAAACCAACCCCAAAACAACAACAAAAACCCCAAACTAGAACAAAATTAATGTTGCCTTTCCTCTTTCAGTGGCACCCTCATTGAGTCACCAAGTCTTGTTTGGTGCCTCTTTTTGCTCCCCCTTTCCCGTAAATCAAAAGTAGTTCTAGAGAGGATCACGCATTCACTCTCCCAAAGGTGTATACGGGCAGTAATGGTAAAACAGCCATCAGGTTTTGCCTATTAAGGACACACAATTTTAAAGCAGAAAGGGGTTTAGAGTGTAAGAAAATCTCGAGGGGGGAAAGGGCTATCTTTTTTTTTTTTTTTTTCTTTAAGAAGGGCACAATTTGTAGACATCCTACCATTTCCAATTGGTAATTTATGAGGGCATATTAAGGGAAGTTAATCATGGCCGTTTCTTCCCCCACTTTGAGAAGCATGGTCTTCATTTTTGGAAATTGAAAATCTTGAGATGGTAGATCATCAGTAGTGTTTACTATGTATTTTGTTATATTTTGTCTTTAATGACCGAAATTTGGAAGCTGAGAAGTTAATGTTCTCATTATCTGTCAAAAGAAGAAACAAGGAAAAAGAAGTGACAATACCTGGTAGATCATTTGCACAGTGTTGCACCATTCACAAAGTGCTTTCATACCCCTAATCATGCATATCATTAGTGCTGAATCGCTATTAAACAATAAAAACAGGAGGATGACTAGAATCAGCAGAAAAAAAAATCACAGTCGTTTAATCCAATTACACACACTTGGAACCCACCACATTCTCCCCTAGATTCTGTGGGGACATTGACTTTACCCCCAAGGAGTTTTTAAATCCAGCGGCGAAGCCAAAAAGAGGGGCTCTCTGCACATGGGTCATCTGACAGGTATCAGTTGAGGTAGGGATGGGAGAACACACACAGACATAAAGCACGAGGCTTTTACACCTCGCCTTAGGTAAAGTGAATGCTTGCAGCTGCAATCAAAAGATGCAAGGAGTGCCTCCTGCCGAATTTGAGAAGGTGGAATAGCACCAACCATCCTATGTTAGGGACCTGGGAGAGGGCCATGGCCAGAAGCGTTCTCAGCTTTGCAAACAGTAAGGAATGACCGGTTACAGCACAGTTAGGAGCCTAGGAAAAGTTCTTTGTGCACGGAAGCAAGAGCGCCAGGAGGTACAAAGAGCAGATTTAGGGGAAAGAGGAATCTTTCTGCACACATCTGCAAGGCTGGCTGTTGGGGGCGTGGAGGGAAGGGCTGCAGGGGCTGTGGGCTCGCTCCCGCCTCCACCCCTGTCCCTACCCCACACCTAGGCAACAGTTGGTCGCGCAGGGCCTGCCCGGGCGCTGAGTGGGGAGGGGGAGTCTCGCGATCGTTGAGGGGGGGTGGAGGCAGGGGGGAGGGCGACGGGGGGAGGCCATGACGTAGGGTGGGTGGACGGAAGTGGGGCAGGGTTGAGGGTTATTTAAAGAAGGGGGGCCGAGCGGAGGGGCTGGAAGCGGCGCGATTCCCCACTCGGGCTCCATCTCGCCCTGTGCTGCCGCCGCCGCCCGAGCCCGCGCCCCTAGCTCGGCCCCGCTCCCACGCCATGGAGCCGGACATCGCCGCAGCGGCAGCCACCGTGGCAGCCGCCGATGCGCCCGCCGCGATCGCGATCGTGGTCCCCGAGGACGAGCAGCCGGGCCCGTCCTCCGCGGAGGAGGGAGCGGCCGCCGTGGCCCCGGAGCAGGACGACAAGGAGGTGCGGAAGAAAGGGGTGTGTGTGCAAGCGGGCCAGGCGGGGGTGCGGGCCAGGCTCCGCCGAGGCTCGGGGAGGGGGAGGCCTGGCCTCGGGGCGCCGACAGGTACCTGGGCGCGGGGGGCGCGATGGCTCACCCCCAAACCGTCCGTCCCTTCCCCCTCCCAGGGCCGCCAGAGGGCGGGGGCGGGGCGCGGCGGGCGG